GTGAACTTCCATTGCATTCACTAATAACCCTATTTGGGCTTTTATCCTGAATTGCCCAGTTGGGCTTCAGTCTTTGGGCTATTTGAATTGTGCTGCACTTTTAGCATGTCAACAATGAGTGATGGAGTGCAACTTTACAAACTTCAGTGAGTAATGGAGTGCAAGTCAAAATACAGTGAACGAAACGTGACATTATGCAAAATTTAGTGAGTATTCAAACAATTAACTCAATTTTAGCACACGTTTGATCCTATTTTTCAAAATTTATTTTTCTTCAAACTCATTTCAACTATATATTTTGTGCAATAAACTAGGCTAATTAGTTCCGTTAATTGCAAGTAAACAACGTCATAAAATGTACTTGATTTGGCAATTTCTCTTTAGTTGAAGCTATTGACTTGTATGAATAGTTTATTGCGAAGCTTCTAATAGTTGTTGGGATGATTTCGACACCCTATATAAAACTTAAGAGTTGTTTGAGTCCCATTTTTTTTGCATTTTACAATATAGTTATGATGGAAATATTTGGATTTACGTGTAATATTATAAATGTGTGGCTGAAATTTGGTTAAACTACTGTTCGAAAATGCATTTTAATGGAAAAAATGGGGGCTCAAACAGAGGCTTAGTTGAGGTCATAACTCACTTGCCATCACCTAGAAGGCTCCTTGATAATCTACTCATCTAGAGAGAGTTAATCGATGTCATTTTGGCTTGTCATATAAGTTTGACGTCCATGTGTGACTACTACGAGTCTGTTTTGGCCAATTTGCGACTTGTGTGGACTGACCGGACTCTTATATTTTGCGTCTAACTATTTGCCCTAAAATACATGTCACAAAAGGTATTGGTCGATTAAGACAAACAGTATGGTAATCAACTCACATGTCGAATATTCTCAAACTTCTATTATTAATGACTAATGCTGGCGTAATACAATTCCCAAAATTTTCCAGGAATTTACAAATCTCATTTTCTTTACAGGTTTTGTTACAAAACTCAGCCACAATTGGAATGAACTGATTACAAAAATAAGTACAAACATCGTACAGATGACAAGAAGGTCCCTAGAAATCTTCGACGTAAATAAACTTTGATGCTTAGTGATTACACATACACTCTGGCACGGGATAGGCTAACACATCTCTGTCTATCCTCTTAGTTCTCTGCTCAGGTTGCCCCTTGGAGTTTTTATGCAGCTTCTGTATAATGCTGCTAAATTCTTCCTCGGAAATGGACATGTCCTCAAAGAAAGGAATCATCATTCGCTTGTTAGGCTTTATGTGTTTCCTGTGTCCAACATACGCGCGATGGCCCTATAAAATCAGACATCCGAATCAATCTGCTAAACCATGTTTAGTTTAAGGCAAACAAGTTCGTTGTGCGTTCAAATTTTAACTGGAAAACGTGCCATAATATTGCCATCTGATCAGTACTAATCCAAGCTGATATAATGTAATGTACCTGCAGAGCGCGGCCCATGTTACCTCCATGGGAAGGCATAAAGACATCACTGCTCAGAGAGACAATATAGTCAATGGCTGCTAAAACAGAAGGTCTGTTCGTGTATGGGCTAAGCTCATCCCCTCGTGACAACATCTGCTTTGTCACTATATTGGGGAACTCTTCTACAAGGGGCTGCAATGCGTAGGTACCCCCGAACGGATCCCCTCCTGCCACATATATGCGAGCATTGCTTGGCGCGCCTAAAGCCTTCAGAAACCTGTGCTTTCCCTCGTTTAGAATGTTCTTTAGCCATAGTTCATAATTTGAATTAGTTTAACTTCATTCAAATATGAAGATTTTTGGCTTACCTTGCAACTTCTAGAGCATTAAGAGGACAGAGTCCAGCTAGGCGTCGTGCTGCGTTGCTCATATTCAATTTATCAGTTAGGAAATCGGGATGAGACTCCCGATCCCTGGCTATAATATTGTCATATTTTGGTCCTAAACCAGTGTGGCATCCAGTTCTGATCCATACGTCCTTCTCTAGTCGTAAATGAATGGCTACATAAGGACCTTCAATCCACATTCTTCTAGCCATTTGATTGCCAAGCTCTCGGATTGGAGTTGAGAATCTTAGAGCGTGAAACGCTACCTTTGAGAAGAAAAAGTAGAGAAACAAATACATCAATCTCATGTCGATTTCTAATCTTATTTCTTATCGGAGAGATTTTTCAATATTACCTTACATCGGAGCTTCTGAAGGTCAGGTGGAAGACTTTTGGAAAGCTTAGAATCCAACCCTTTCAATATGAGAAGGCCTTCTTCATTTAGCTACATTTGCCAAACATAACAAAGCATAAATACTTATCAGTAATGAAATGAGATTATGGATCAAATTTAGGTGGTTTATTTATACAAAGTATCCCACTGAATTACATCAAAACCGTGTTTAATGCTTATCACCAGATACATTGTTCATCGATCTGGTATCAAATACGAAGCATTCAATTCTAAACCTTCACAAGTTTATGTTATCCCCCCTATCCTGCCCTGCCGATCCCCAACACACCAAATGCCTTGGTCCTAGAAGATATCCAGGGCTGGAAGTTTATTTTTTTTATTAATAAAGTTAAGTTGAGCACTAAAATCGTAAAGGGTATGTTTGTTGTGCAGTACTAAACAACATATACAATTTTAGCTTTTTTTTCTTTCTTAATCATGTCCAAAGCCATCCATTCTAAAAACACTGAACATGCCATAAATTTCTTGAGCCATCTATTGTGAAACAGACTAAAACTTCTGAGCCTAA